GGGGATGGACACAGGTTTAATGCCCTCCAATTGGTGTAGGGGGAGGGAGCGCTGTGCGTGAATGCTCCTCGGCGTGCCCCGCCCCCCCCCACACGGTGCAGCTGGCTTCTCAGTGCATCTCCTCGAAGAATTTGTAGGTGGGATTCTCATAGCCGTGGTTCTGCATCTTGCTGAGCTGCCGTTCCTCGGGACTCACCATGGGGTCCACCTGCTCAGGGAGGGACGGACACGTGCCGGAGTTAGGGGAGCCGGGCTGGAGGCTTCCTCCTTTCCCCACCAAGGACAGCTCCCAACCCCCACCACGAGGAGGGGGGGAGCCAGGACTCCTGGGTCCCCTCTCTGGCTGTACCCCCCTGCGGGCAGCGGTCCCGGTGAGAGCCAAAGGGGGGGAGGGGCGTTACCTCCACGATGCCGTGGCTGATGGTCCCATAGGGCTTCCGGCGAACCATCAGGAGACTGATGATTATCACCATGGCGACCGCCACTGCCACTACCAGCAGGCCAATCAGGGCTCCCCTGTTAATGGTGACTAGGGTGTCCGGCTCCTGTGGGGCAGAGAGAATCATGTGCTCCTCCCTCATCTTCACAGACTCACTGGGAAGGGGGAGGAGCCCCACTTAAGGATTCGGGTTAGTCTGCTCTGGGAGGGGCAGGCTAGGAGGGGCACCCTAGACTCCAGGCCTCCCTTCACTAGGATGTGGGGGGGTCTGTAAGCCCACTGCTCCTCCCACATATCAGAATTATGGGGAGGGGGAGCAGGGAGGGATTCCTTGGGCTCCCAATGGGGCAAGGTGGCAGCATTGGGGGCTGCAGAGGCAGGAGAGGGATACCGGTATGAGGGGACCTCTGCCAATGGGGGTGGGGTGGTAGCACACATTGCTGGGCATGCGCAGCGCTGAGGGGGCGCAGGGGCGAGGCACACAGGAGGGACGCAGGGTCGGGAGGCGCAGCGCTGAGGGGGCGCAGGGGCGAGGCACACAGGAGGGACGCAGGGTCGGGAGGCGCAGCGCTGAGGGGGCGCAGGGGCGAGGCACACAGGAGGGACGCAGGGTCGGGAGGCGCAGCGCTGAGGGGGCGCAGGGGCGAGGCACACAGGAGGGACGCAGGGTCGGGAGGCGCAGCGCTGAGGGGGCGCAGGGGCGAGGCACACAGGAGGGACGCAGGGTCGGGAGGCGCAGCGCTGAGGGGGCGCAGGGGCGAGGCACACAGGAGGGACGCAGGGTCGGGAGGCGCAGCGCTGAGGGGGCGCAGGGGCGAGGCACACAGGAGGGACGCAGGGTCGGGAGGCGCAGCGCTGAGGGGGCGCAGGGGCGAGGCACACAGGAGGGACGCAGGGTCGGGAGGCGCAGCGCTGAGGGGGCGCAGGGGCGAGGCACACAGGAGGGACGCAGGGTCGGGAGGCGCAGCGCTGAGGGGGCGCAGGGGCGAGGCACACAGGAGGGACGCAGGGTCGGGAGGCGCAGCGCTGAGGGGGCGCAGGGGCGAGGCACACAGGAGGGACGCAGGGTCGGGAGGCGCAGCGCTGAGGGGGCGCAGGGGCGAGGCACACAGGAGGGACGCAGGGTCGGGAGGCGCAGCGCTGAGGGGGCGCAGGGGCGAGGCACACAGGAGGGACGCAGGGTCGGGAGGCGCAGCGCTGAGGGGGCGCAGGGGCGAGGCACACAGGAGGGACGCAGGGTCGGGAGGCGCAGCGCTGAGGGGGCGCAGGGGCGAGGCACACAGGAGGGACGCAGGGTCGGGAGGCGCAGCGCTGAGGGGGCGCAGGGGCGAGGCACACAGGAGGGACGCAGGGTCGGGAGGCGCAGCGCTGAGGGGGCGCAGGGGCGAGGCACACAGGAGGGACGCAGGGTCGGGAGGCGCAGCGCTGAGGGGGCGCAGGGGCGAGGCACACAGGAGGGACGCAGGGTCGGGAGGCGCAGCGCTGAGGGGGCGCAGGGGCGAGGCACACAGGAGGGACGCAGGGTCGGGAGGCGCAGCGCTGAGGGGGCGCAGGGGCGAGGCACACAGGAGGGACGCAGGGTCGGGAGGCGCAGCGCTGAGGGGGCGCAGGGGCGAGGCACACAGGAGGGACGCAGGGTCGGGAGGCGCAGCGCTGAGGGGGCGCAGGGGCGAGGCACACAGGAGGGACGCAGGGTCGGGAGGCGCAGCGCTGAGGGGGCGCAGGGGTGGCGTACACATGGGGGACACAAGGGGGGCAGTGCTATGTTACGGATGCCACAAGCTGCTCACCAGCTCATCGCGTTGGATCTCGGGGGACTTGTATAAGACTCCCTTGACGTCCCCCACTGAGATGTTCACCTGCGGAGGAGACAGGCTAGAGCTGAGAGAAGGGCACCTGCTTGCACCCCTTTCTCTCCATGGCAACAGGGTGCAACCTATGGTGGGGCAATGGCGCTTAGCTGCATCCCCCATCACAGTCTTGGAGGAGAACATGCACCATGCCACGAAGTCACGTCAAGCTGCTCCCACAATGCACAGCGCCTGTCTCCCAGCATGCATTGCACCCACATGCCCAACTTGGGGGGGGGGGTCAAGCCAAGCTGCTCCCACAATGCACAGCGCTTGTCTCCCAGCATGCATTGCACCCACATGCCCAACTTGGGGGGGGGGGTCAAGCCAAGCTGCTCCCACAATGCACAGCGCTTGTCTCCCAGCATGCATTGCACCCACATGCCCAACTTGGGGGGGGGGGTCAAGCCAAGCTGCTCCCACAATGCACAGCGCTTGTCTCCCAGCATGCATTGCACCCACATGCCCAACTTGGGGGGGGGGGTCAAGCCAAGCTGCTCCCACAATGCACAGCGCTTGTCTCCCAGCATGCATTGCACCCACATGCCCAACTTGGGGGGGGGGGTCAAGCCAAGCTGCTCCCACAATGCACAGCGCTTGTCTCCCAGCATGCATTGCACCCACATGCCCAACTTGGGGGGGGGGGTCAAGCCAAGCTGCTCCCACAATGCACAGCGCTTGTCTCCCAGCATGCATTGCACCCACATGCCCAACTTGGGGGGGGGGGTCAAGCCAAGCTGCTCCCACAATGCACAGCGCTTGTCTCCCAGCATGCATTGCACCCACATGCCCAACTTGGGGGGGGGGGTCAAGCCAAGCTGCTCCCACAATGCACAGCGCTTGTCTCCCAGCATGCATTGCACCCACATGCCCAACTTGGGGGGGGGGGTCAAGCCAAGCTGCTCCCACAATGCACAGCGCTTGTCTCCCAGCATGCATTGCACCCACATGCCCAACTTGGGGGGGGGGGTCAAGCCAAGCTGCTCCCACAATGCACAGCGCTTGTCTCCCAGCATGCATTGCACCCACATGCCCAACTTGGGGGGGGGGGTCAAGCCAAGCTGCTCCCACAATGCACAGCGCTTGTCTCCCAGCATGCATTGCACCCACATGCCCAACTTGGGGGGGGGGGTCAAGCCAAGCTGCTCCCACAATGCACAGCGCTTGTCTCCCAGCATGCATTGCACCCACATGCCCAACTTGGGGGGGGGGGTCAAGCCAAGCTGCTCCCACAATGCACAGCGCTTGTCTCCCAGCATGCATTGCACCCACATGCCCAACTTGGGGGGGGGGGTCAAGCCAAGCTGCTCCCACAATGCACAGCGCTTGTCTCCCAGCATGCATTGCACCCACATGCCCAACTTGGGGGGGGGGGTCAAGCCAAGCTGCTCCCACAATGCACAGCGCTTGTCTCCCAGCATGCATTGCACCCACATGCCCAACTTGGGGGGGGGGGTCAAGCCAAGCTGCTCCCACAATGCACAGCGCTTGTCTCCCAGCATGCATTGCACCCACATGCCCAACTTGGGGGGGGGGGTCAAGCCAAGCTGCTCCCACAATGCACAGCGCTTGTCTCCCAGCATGCATTGCACCCACATGCCCAACTTGGGGGGGGGGGTCAAGCCAAGCTGCTCCCACAATGCACAGCGCTTGTCTCCCAGCATGCATTGCACCCACATGCCCAACTTGGGGGGGGGGGTCAAGCCAAGCTGCTCCCACAATGCACAGCGCTTGTCTCCCAGCATGCATTGCACCCACATGCCCAACTTGGGGGGGGGGGTCAAGCCAAGCTGCTCCCACAATGCACAGCGCTTGTCTCCCAGCATGCATTGCACCCACATGCCCAACTTGGGGGGGGGGGTCAAGCCAAGCTGCTCCCACAATGCACAGCGCTTGTCTCCCAGCATGCATTGCACCCACATGCCCAACTTGGGGGGGGGGGTCAAGCCAAGCTGCTCCCACAATGCACAGCGCTTGTCTCCCAGCATGCATTGCACCCACATGCCCAACTTGGGGGGGGGGGTCAAGCCAAGCTGCTCCCACAATGCACAGCGCTTGTCTCCCAGCATGCATTGCACCCACATGCCCAACTTGGGGGGGGGGGTCAAGCCAAGCTGCTCCCACAATGCACAGCGCTTGTCTCCCAGCATGCATTGCACCCACATGCCCAGCTGGGGGGGTGTCACGTCAAGCTGCTCCCACAATGCACAGCGCCTCATTCCATCCAGGACAAGGTCTCGCGCACCCCAGACTGGCCGTTCCCCTCCCACCTGCGCACTAATGGGAGGAGGCTCCCACCCCACTCACCCTCTGCTCGCCCTTGCCCAGCGGGGCCTTCTCGCTGGGGAGGTCGTCCTGCTCCGCCGCTGTCCCGGAGGCTGTGGGAAGGAAGAGTCCCATGAGCCCAGGAAGGAGTCCTGGGGCATAAAGGTGGAGCAGGCTGACCCTGCACGGGGATGGGGGCAGCGGCCACCCCAGGCACTCACCTTTCTTCTCAGCTGGCTGGGAGTCTGGGGGAGGAGGGGTCCCTGTGGCAGGGGG